TAATACTTATTTACTTACTACACACACACACACACACACACACACACACACACACACACACTACTTTCTTTACCTAGAAATATTTTCTAAAAATATGTAATGCAGATTTATCAGATCCAAATCTTTGTGAGAGAAATGGTTGTATAAATACCTAATTCAGTAACAACATTACTATACCACTATCGCTATAAAAAACAAACATCTGAAAGTGAAGAAATTCATAGTAAAGGTTCCTCGAACAATCACAACTCTGTTCCAATTTTCATGTCCACCATCTCCATAACAGAAATATACTTATATCCTATTGATTACTGTTTAAATTTATGAGTCAGCAATTCAAATATTTTTAAAGCCACAGCTTTATCCTGGAATCTAGCCAATTTAAGAAGAGTTAAAAGTAGTTTGATACTACATTTGCCCCGACCCCTTCGGCCAATACTTGTTGGTTTACAATAACATTTTCCTATTTCAAAAATGTTTTTCTCTCCCTTGTTTGTATATGCAAGATGCAGGCAAATAGGGGAAATTAAGTAATTGACTATATATGGGAAAACCCCTGAAACCCACTACACAGTGCTGTGAAATGTCCTTAGTAAACAAATTTGAAAAGTGATTTAGCCTCTCTCAGTTCAAGTAATCTAGAGGTCTTACTTGGAAGTCTGAAACATTTAAGACAACATGACATTTTTAAGGCAATGGTGTCTCTTTAACATGTCTATATCTGTCTGGTAGAGGCTGTGACATACATGGGCTGCATGAATATTGAAGGTACAGTTGGGTTTCCAGTTCATATAGCAAACTTTGATAGGTCTCCTACTCATAATGGATTAGCAGAGAGGAGACTATGCTGTTTCTGGACTATGAATAAGATGTAAGATGCTGAGGGAGAGAAATTCAATTCAGTGAATTTCTCCCAAGCTCTCTGCTGCTTAAGTGGGTGAAACTTCAGTGAATTTTCACCCAATCTCAACAGCAGGCCCGCTGAGCAGAAGAAACTAAATGACAGTGTTTATAGCTCATAATAGGAAGGTGAACTAGAAGATTGCCTGTGGACCATATTTGGTAGGTAGTTTGTAGCCCCTATTGAGCATATATAGGGAGATATGGTAGATGGATATAAAAGGCTTCTAGGCTATAGGTTGAGACTGGGAAGAGATATGGGGCAGAGGCTTAAATTACTAATTTTTCTCACTTTAAAATGTTAGCTATAACTTGTGTTCTGAGTACTTGATTTCATGAATATTTATTTACAGCCTTAACTCCAGTTTTTGTTTGTGAATTAACTTCATTTTTAATAGAAGCCAGAAGGCAACAGAAAGCTCTTCTGTAAGGTCAGTAGAGCTTTAAACCCTATCAAATGCAACAATGGATAGTGTAACAGAAAAGCTCTGTTTCAAATGTTCCATCCATAAGAGCTATCATTTCTGCCAGACATTGCACTCTTGGAGCTTATAAAACTATCTGAAACTAGTAAAGAAACACAAAAGCTGGGGGCGGGGGGGACGACTTTGCATGCTTTTAAATATTGTTACAAACCCAGAACATGCTGCAGTTTACCCAGCAAGAGTTGACTTCAGCAGGTTTAGGGGAATGTTTCATGGCACACAGTCCCTCCAGATGGGATCTATTAAAAGGAGTGGTGTCCTAACTCCCACTTTTAGTGTTGATATCTTCTGGATAAGAAGGTGAGTCAGGATAGTCTACAGCCAATACTTCCCCTCTGCTCCAGTGTCTCCAGGGAGCATAAGCTTGCCTCCTTGGCTATGACAGGGATAGGAATGGGAGGCTCACCTATACCTAATTGAAAGGAATCTGGAAGAAGAGTGAAAGTTTTGTTGGGGGGTAGAGTCCTGCTCCAAGGATCATATTTACCCTTTGTTCAGAGACAGTCATGGGAGCTGCTCCGTGTCTAGGACTCAGAGACCCGGGATCTGAATCCTCAGGGGCCTACTGTAACTTGTGAGAGTAAGGAGAGCTTAAGAGTCCCCCATGATTCTAACGGCAATCTCAGCATTGGGTTGTCTTTTTTGTTTTGTGTTTAATGCAGAGAGGATAAATGATGGTGTGGTGCGGCACAAAGGTTTTAATCAGCATGAGTTTGGGATCACAATGTTTTCTCAAATAGCTTGTGAGCTATACGGGTCACTCCAAACGATTGCTAATAGCTACATCTCTTACAGTTTATTCATAGTCCAGAAACAACATAGTCCCCTCTCTGCCATTCCATTATGAGTAAGAGATTTATCAACATTCTCTTATGAATTACTAATAGCTACATCTCTTCTATCCTACATATACACACACTACAGAAAATCAGCTACAACATATTTTAGAGTTATCTCTCTTTATTTGCTCCCTCTATGACAGCTGGTAGAGATTAGACATCCAGCACACCACGGCTGGAGAGAATGCAAGACTATCTTTATTGCCCTTTTTACAGACCCACACCTCCTTGCTCTACGCCCCTATGTTCATAACTATCACCACCATTTTTACAGGAACTACTAGTGAGGAATTATGGGCCTTGAACCTGGGCCTGTAGGTCACCAGACAGAACTCAGGCCATGGTTGCTACCTGGCAGCTCACCCAAACCCCTGGAGAAGGGGGCTTCTGGAACGTTAGCTCACAATGGGCTGTGCCCACAAAGCTCCTGACTGTGCGAGACACCAAGCCCCACCGATTGGCTGGGTTGCACTATTTAAGCTAGACAGAATCATGGGAAGTTGTCTGAGCAACTAGGTGAATCCCTGGCTGGCTGCTACTATGGACCCTGCCTACTTGTCTGAAACCTGAGTGTTGTGGAAAAATGACCACGCGTTGTGTTTGAATCAGAATCGCCTGATGGTCTTTTTATTTTCATGCATGCATGGGGGGTACCAGTAAACTAGCAATCCCCCTGATTACAGAATATCGCACAGCTTATATAGCATAAAACCACAATTACATGATACATACTGTCTTATCAGCATTATTGCCATATTTGGAATACACTCTCCATAAAAGGAATATAGCTTAGCAAGCTTTCCTATTTTTCACAGTCTATCCTACTGCGATTTCCAGACTTCCCCAAAACTGTCAATGCAGTACTATGAATCACAGGTCTTATAATTATAGATAGTTCTGCTTTTATACTTTTCCTCTATTCTGCCTCTAAAAACCTTTCACCTACAATAGACTTTACTAATGTTCAGGTCTGAACCAAAGTTCAGGCCCGAGCCAACTAAAGTTTAGGCCCTAGCAAACTTTTTCCTCCACATGAGCCATGACTCCCAGCCTGTTCCTGGTGCCTGACCTCTTCATCCTAAGCCCCTGTCTGCTCCCAGTTCCTGTTTTCCTCCCTTGCTTCAGGTCTCTATTCCTACATCCACCCCAGACACTGACCCTGGTTTGACTCCTGACTCTAATCCCATCTCCAAGCCTGGATCCATTTCCAAGCGTCTGACTAACCATTAGGCTAGACACACCCCAGACCCTCCACTACTGTTATTATCCTACAGCCTGTGAAGCCAGATGCCTTAGTTACCAGTCCGATGGCACTAGTCTCAGAAGGGCCCTAAAAACCTCTAAAATGCATCTAAATAGCTTTTCTGTTAACATTTTAGGTATAAGTTTAAGGTCTGATATCTTGCAACCTCCCAAGCCTAGAAGCAAGTGCTAGGTCCCATTGGAAACTGGGATTCTCCCCTTTCCAATGGTGTAAAGTTAGGCAGGGCTTCAAGATATCAAACCTTAAGCCTGTCACTGGAGCAGGATCAAGTACTGCCTATCCTGGATCAATAGCAAGTAATTTTTAAAGGGGAAACTTCTCTATTTGGGAGGAAGGAAGAAAGATTTTTATGGCAGGTTTATTTATTCTTTAAAATGGCACCTGTGAAGCTATTCAGAGATCTGGAATGTCAGGATGTGTCTAAGTGAGATGGATTAGAGGGCAGAGAGCATGAGCTGGTCAAAAGTGCATGATCAAGTATACAACCAGGTGATATGTATTATTGGTTCTGCAATTAATCATATGTATATCACCGCTACATATGTGGAGTTTTAGGCTATTTACAATAAGACAGAATTGTCCCAAGCATACTTTGAGCACACACTGATTTGTAGGACTCTTAATTGACCTCCCATATTGTTTCTGAATACTGTTTCTTTTAATGGATGAAAGTGTGAGACCCAACATTAACAAACTAGGTTGCAATATAATAGAAATATGGCTGTGAGCTATCGGCCTCACCCCACTTTAAAAAAAAAAGTCATAGGCACACACAAAACTAGCTAATAATGTTAGGGTAATGAATGGTTGTGCTACTGAAATAAATTAACTTTCTAAGTATGCGAAGACATTTAACACAGTGTATTTTAAATACTAAGTTTTACTGGGAAAATTCATATGAAACATAAAATGGAAACCTTTTCAATGCTGAAAAGAATAAATAAGCAAAAAATTAAGGAGCGAGAATGGCTGCTAGAACTGCTAACAAATATTGCAAGATGAGACTGGAAAATCTTTTCAATATAGAAGAGGCAAGAGAAAGGGGTGCCAGAGTGTTACTAAGGTGAAAAATCACCCCCCTGAGCA